TTTTTTTTTTTTTTTTTTTTTTTTTTCTCGAAACGATAGATATCAATAGACTTCAACAAATTTACAATGTTCGAGAGGCCGATTGACCAATACAAATAAGGAGTTCCACTAGGGGAACTAAGCAATATAAAGCCAAGATAGCTTGCTAAAAGGCAGTAAAAATACTGAAAACCTTTAGCTAACCCATCTAGGCCTAATACAAAATGAATAACTAGCCACTGAACCAAAGGACCTAGCTAGGGAAAACACAGGGGAGGGAACTGGGAGGAAATAAGAGCAATAACACAATAGGGGGAATAAACGCAACCAGAGCAAATAAAACTAATACACCCAAAACAGCCTGAACTAAAAGGAAAAGAACTATCAATGCAAAGATCTAGCAGTGGAAAATTCTTGCCATTCAAGGAGTGCTGATTTGATGGTCTCCTTCTCGGGCAGCCAAGAGTTTTGAATATCCACAGGTTTCTGGATTTCCAAAGCCACCACAAGATGTATGTGGTGAGCTCAATCCTGTCCACATCTTCCTGTCCTTTTGTTGAGCAGATGTCTCTCCACCAGTACTTGAAACAAGGAGTCTGAGGGTTAGTGTTAGGCCAGGATAGTGGTGCCAGCTTCCATGTTGTTTGGGCTCTGAAACAATGGAAAAAAATGTGCTCCACAGATTCCACAGCCTCCCCACAGCAGGAGCAGATTGTGTCAACAGTAAGGCCTCTTTTTGCAAGGTTGGAACAGACAGAAAGAGTGTTGTTGAAACACTTCCAGATAAAGTGTTTCAGCTTTCTTTTTATGTTCGGTTTCCATGACAGAGTTCTGACTTTATTGATCCAAGAGGATTGGGAGCTAGATTCAGGCATGTCTAGTTTGCTTATTTTGCCCTGGATTAACTGAGTATAGGCTGATGAGACTGAAAAAACCCCTTTCTTGTCTGGTACCCAAATGAATCTGTCATGCTTTGTTGTGTCTTGACTGTTAATGCTGAGAATAGCCTCTGCTTCTGTGCTGAGAATGTTTCTCTGATGAGATCAATGTTCCAGCTGCAATCTGAGGGATTCATGAGTTGACAGACTTTGAGGATAGCTGGAGAAATTGAGGTGTTTCTCTGAGGCTTCAGATGTGGAAGAGAGTGGAGCCAAGGGTGTTCCCATATTAGGGCTGACTGACCATTGCCAATAATCATTCTGAGGTGTTTGTGAGAAAGATGGACAGACTTTCATCCAACTTTTCCAGAGCCAGGAGCTGCTAAGAGGAGGCTTTGCTTCAAAGAAGGAGCCTTTTGGGAAGTATTTGCATTTGAGGATCTTGCTCATGAGAAGGTTGGGCTTGGTGATAAGCCTCCAAAGCTGTTTGAATATTAGTGCTTCATTGAAGATTCTCATATCAGAGAAGCCCAATCCTCCATGTTCCAGGAGAAGAGATATGAGTTTCCAGCTTTTCCAGTGCATGCCTTTAGCATTATTATCACCTTTGCTCCACCAAAATTCAGCAATTAGCCTGTTTATCTCATCACATACTGAAATTGGCAGGATAAAACATGACATAACAAATACAGGTAATGCACTTAGTACTGATTTTATGAGCACTTCCCTTCCAGCAGGAGAGAGAAATTTATTTTTCCAGCTCTGGATTCTGGATTTGACTACTTCAGTAACATAGTTAAAAGTTTGTTTGTTTGAGTGCCCAATTTGCAAAGGTAGACCAAGGTATTTACAGTGAAGCTGTTGTTGTATGCCATGAAGCATGGTGGAGATAGTGTGTTGGGTTTGTGTAGGGGTGTTTTTGCTAAATAAAATTGAGGATTTTTGCAGGTTTACCTTTTGGCCAGTGAAGAGTTGATAAGTTTGCAAGATTTGAAGTATGGTATTGGCATTTTGGGCATTGGCATGGCAAAAAAGGATTGTGTCATCTGCAAAGAAAAGATGACTGAGGGTGGGTCCATTTCTAGACAGTTTTATGCCCTGCAACTCTCCATTAGTAACAGCTGTCTTGATGAGGCAAGAAAACAATTAAGCTACAATGATAAAAATATAAGGAGAGATGGGGTCTCCTTGTCTGATGCCCCTAGATGGAGAAACAAACCCACTGACAGCACCATTAATGTTAAAAGAATAGTGAGGAGAGGTGACACAAGCCATTATCCAGTTAACAAATTTCCTGTGGAAACCCATTTTTAACATGATTTTACTGATGCTAGCGCACTCAATTCTGTCAAAGGCCTTTGCCATATCAAGCTTTAAGGCCATAAGACATTTGGTACCAGAATTATGCCTGTTCAGGTAATGAATAGCTTCATGAGCCACAACTACATTATCTAACAAACTCCTACCAGGAATGAAGGCTGTTTGATTGTCAGAGATGCATGAGTGAAGACAGTGCTTGAGTCTATAAGCCAGGATTTTTGAGATGATTTTATATGGAACACCACAAAGACTGATAGGCCTAAAATTAGAAACATGAGTGGGGTTAAGGCATTTTGGAATCAAAGTGATGGCTGTGTGGTTCCAACTCTTAAGGATTTGGCTAGATTCAAAGAAGCTTTGAATGGCAGTGCATAATTTATTTTTAACAATGTGCCAAAACTATTGATAGAAAAGAGGGGACATACCATCAAGGCCTGGGGCCTTATTTGGGTTCATGCTGTCAAGTACTCTCTTGATCTCATCCTCTCCTACTTGTGCCAGAAGTGAGGTATTTGTGAAGCTGCCTATGTTGCTGATGATGTAGTCTAGGAGTCCTTCTTGTTCCCAAGTGCCTTCTGAGCAGAAGAGGTGGCTATAGAAGTCAGCTACACAGTTTTCAATTTCTTCCTTAGATTCACAGAGGAGGTTGTCATCATTGACTAATCTTGCAATATGGTTTGTTTTCCTCCTCTGCATGGTGTATGCATGGAAGAAATGGGTGTTCTTGTCACCAGCTTTAAGCCATTGTATCCTGGATTTCTGCTGCCAAAAAGCCTCTTCTTCTTTGTGTGCTTTGTCTAGCTGGGACTTGAGGTTATGCCATCTGTGCCAATCCCTGTCTCCCCCTTGAGATCTTAGAATTTCTAGCTCTTTGGAAAAGTCAGTGATTTTTTTGGAGTTCGCAGTCCTAAAGTTTCTACTCCATTTCAACAGAGAGATTCTAGTATCTTTAATTTTGCTTTGGACTTGGTACATGGGTGTGCCAGAGTGATGAGTGGTCCAAGCTTGAGATATGGTCTCATGAATCCCTTCTTTGCCAAGCCATCTTCTGTCGAAATTGAACCTCTTTTTGGAGTGCGGTGTATTAGTGGTATCTGAGAGCATAATGAGGTTGTGATCTGAAGAACTTCGGAAGACGCTTGTAGAGGAGGTAAGAGGGTGAAGGGACAGCCAACCAAAGGAAGTGAAGAACCTGTCTAGCTTTGCTTCAACAAAACATGAGCCCATTCTGTTATTTCCCCAAGTATATTGATGGCCTGACATTGGAACCTCAAGCATATTCATTTGAGCAATAAAGTTCCTGAATCCCCAAAAGCTATTCTCAGCTCTATCTCTGCCTCCATTTTTCTCTTCTCTATTGCATATGTCATTCCAATCTCCACCGATGATCCAAGAGTCCCCCCAATTGCCTTTAGCATTGAGAAGATAATTTCTTTGCATTTCTCTTTCACTGTCAGTAGTACTCAGATAGACAAAGATGGCCCAGTGTTTTGCAGCAGATGTAGAATGCTGGAATTCAACTTCAATGCAGAAATAGTGAGGGATAATATTAAGAATCACAATGTCTTTACTCCATAGCAAAAGAAGGCCACCACTTTGACCAGTGGGGTCAATGGATAGACATTGCTCAGCAAAACCTAGCTTTTTACAAACAGTATTTACAAAGGCTGAAGATTTCCTAGTTTCAGAAAGAAAAGTGAACCAAAGGAGGTGGAGTTTTATGGACTCCTTGAGTTGGGGAACTGTAGAGGGTCCTCCCAGACCTCTACAGTTCCACACCATAGCTCTCATTTATTAGTTGGGAGCCATTCCAGGCTGGCTGCCTCCACCTTGGAAGAAGAATTTTTGGATTTTTTGGGGGCTGGGGTAATATTTTTGGTGGTCTCATTTAATTGGTTAGGGGTGTGATCTATATCAGATTGAAGTCTGCCTCTTTTGGTCTTAGGTGTATTATAAATTGGTGTGATGGCCAGGTTTTGGTAGGTTGATGAAGTGCTTGTTTTTGTTTTCCTAGTCCATTTTTTTGTTGTTTTGGGATTGGGTTTGGGGATGGGCATTATAGGGGTAGATGAATCTAGAAGCATGGTAGAGTCTTCCATAGCAATGTTCTGTTGGGCTTCTGGTTTAGCAGAGGATATTATGATTGTGTTAGGTGATGACTCAAGAGGTTTCAGCACTGTCGATTTGGGGATAAGGGCTAGACTGTTAGAGGATTGAGGTGTGGGGTGTTGTTGGATAGGAGTGATAAGGGAGAGGTTAGTGTCTGGAGTTGAGGGGTTTGAGGGGTTAGTAGATTGGGCATAAGGTGCAGGCTGAGAGATATTAGGTGAGACTGGGTTGGAGTCTTTGTCAGGTTGAGAAGGAGATGCTGAGGGTGAGTGGTTAGAATTACCTGAGAAAGGTGGGTGGTGTCTGTTTTTGAAAATGGATTCTGGGGCTTTGATCCATTCCCCAAATTGGCATTTCTGAGGATTACCCGCTTCAATGTCTTCCTTTCTCTTTGAACATGCTCTCTCCAGGTGTCCAATATAGCCACAGTAGTAGTAGAAGTTTTGTAGCTTTTCATATTTGAAAATAATTCTCTGTATTTTTTCTCCAAGTTGGATATTAGTGCATGGAAGCAGAGGTTCTGATAGGTTGATGGTGGCTAGGATTTTGATACACCTTCCATTTCCTGAGCTCGAGTCACAGATAATGACATCTTTTGTGTTCTTGAAGGCTTTGCCAATTTTGATGCCCACTTCTATACTCAGCCAATTTAGTGGTATGCCTTCAGCTTGGATCCACATATCCATCTCAGTGAAACACTCATGGTCGGCATGAATGTCTTCTTGCCATTCTCTTAGGAGAAGGTATTGATTTTCAAAAGACCAGTTCTTTCCTCTGGCCACTTTCCTCTTATCCTCGAGGTCCTCAAAAATGAATTGGAAGAAATTATGGTGGAGTTCTCTGACTTCTATTTGGTGCCGGATTTGCCATATTTGAGTCATGGTTTTTCTGAGGCCATAGAGCTGCGCTTTCCTATCTCCGATTACTTTCCCAAATAGGCTGCGTTCGCATTCATTTTCACTCGATGATATATCTCTTTCTTGTAGAGGGATGATGTTTTCTTCCTTTCTGCTCAGATTGCAGTCTTTGAGCTTCTGCTCCAAGATTTCCATAGTTTTCCTCTTTGAGCGGGGCAATGAGTAGGAGAGATTGAGGATGGAGAGGCTTGAGATAGCTGACCCAAATGACCTATCAAAAAGGAAGGCAACAGAACAAGCCACAGCAATAGCATAATACAAACCCTAGAAAGCGAGGAAAAGGGGAAATAAACAGGTAAAGGTATAAGAAAACAGAACAGGAGAATAATAGTCTAACTGTTGATCTGGTAATTTCTACCTCCCCTTGAAGGAATTAATGCTCTCCATCGAGAGAAGAACAGCTCTCCATCGAGAGAATATATATCACTTAGTCAAAATCACTATAATCTAAAAGTTTCTTTTGGAAACGTTCAACAACAATCTTATTTAGAGCATCATTTCCACATCAATTTCTACATAACAAATCCATAACAATCTTATTTAGAGCATCATTTCCACATCAATTTCTACATAACAAATCCAAAGATGACTTAGAGCATCTTTTCATTGCTTTACATTACTAGTACGTACCCCGTGCGATACACGGGAGAGAGATATTAAATAAATTATTTTCACAGGCTTTGTCCGTTTAAGTCTGAGAAGATCATCCATTTTCCACCTCTTTTAACACCGTTAATCCCGTTTAAGTCTGAAAAGGGTTATCATCTATTTTCCACCTCCTTTAATCACCGTTAAGTCTAAAAAAATAGGGTTGTAATCTATTTTTCACATCTTTTAATCAGCGTTGTTTTATTAGTCAGAACATTAAACGTGAGCATGTTAGGGCTAACTTGTAAAATAATTAATATATTATCTCACTAACACATTTATACTAATATAAATTTAATATTATTATATATATTTATTCCTTGATATAAGAGAAAATAACAATTTTATTTATTCTTATTCACTATATAATAGTTAATTATTATTTTACTATAAATTCTGTTGTCATATAATGTCATTATTATTTATAAAGTTATTGAAGTTGCACGTTTTCTTGTTATTTTTATTTTATGTAATGAAATATATTTAATGCACGTTGGTATTATTTATATAAGTAATCAATTTAAAATATGTAAATAAATTTAAAATTAAATAGTGTATAAATAATGTACAAAATATACACATATATTTTTTAGAATTTAATTTTGTATAATAATTAAACAACTTTGATTTAAGAAAGGCCATGAACTCAATCTCTTCTAATATTAGTATTTTTCTAATTTGCATTATAATGATTATTCTTATTGTATATATAGATTAGGATTTTTGCGACACCAACCAAACTAAATATCACAACAACCAAGTAACAATTATGAAAAACCCATAACACAACAATTATCAATTAAATTTGGTAATAGAAAAATTACATACATATATATAAAAACATGAGGATTCTATATTTCTATTAACTGATGTATACAACACGTGTATATTTTGTTAAGGTGTATTGGAATGTTCAATTTCATAGCATGATAATAATCAGTCTTAAAAAATTGAAAATCTTATTGAAATGCCATATTTTTCTGTTAAACAAAAGTTCCCATAAAAAATAATTATATCATAGCAAATTCATTGTGTAATTGAACAAATTTCTGTAATGAAGCCCGATTTTCTGTACAAAAATAAAGCAACAACTTTTACATTTTAAGAAAACAATTAATGTTGGTCGGTTTTTGCTAAGAAAATAATAAATAAATAAATAAATTGTAATTAATGGAAAGTAATTAATGATGAGAGAATTTGACCATATAGTTGACCTGCCATTTTTTAAAAATAGTAATTCTTATTATATATACCCCGTTACTGCTGGTAAGGCCCCAAGAGGTCAGCGTTCAGCCTGATAGATAAATAAATCAGTTAAATAAAATATTAATACCGAAATAGTAATGGCATTTAATGCAGTGGACTTTTTTGAATACTAAATGTAGTAAATAGGATCCCATTTTATATAAGTATAGATTGCCACATGGCATAAAAAATCTTACTTTGCATGGAAAATGTTTAGAAGGCTTTCTAGATGTAGAAATCCTTCTAAACAACTTCTATTATATATTATATTATTTATTTAATTTCTCTATCTTCTCCAATCAATTACAATTTTACACATCACAAATGACACCACAATTAACCCTAACCATTGGAGACAAAATTTTTTAATTCCGTTTTTCCATGTCCTACAACACAATTTCCATTGGAGATACTCTTAGAAAACAAATTGTTCATTTCGTTTCCCAAATAATTACATATATTTCATTTGTAAACTACACATTAGCATACATGTTACACTTAATTTTTAATCCATGCGTCCTATGAGAATTAAAGATTAAATATTGTAAATATCTCGTTCGCTTATTCAATAGTTAAGAAGGAAGATGATGTCTCTTATGAAGATCGTGTATCGATAGATTCGAATATGTGAAAATTCGCGTAGATGGCCGTTGGTTAACACGAGATTTGTGCTTGAACGCGAGTGATTTTTGTTTTTTTATCGCATAAGTTTTCCAAATGATTAATACATGAATTTTAAAGAAAGTAAAATACTAGAATTGCAATTAAAGTTCTAAAAACATAAATTAACAAAGCAAAACTAAAAAATAGGAAATTTCCAAAATAGTCTCTGCCTCACGTCGGGGCACCGCGGCGCGAGGCATGGAGCTGTTGGTGTTGGATTTCAGTCGTACGAATCAATCGCACACGCAGCGGAACTTTAAAATTTTCTTACCAACAATGAAGATCCGGCTATAGCTATTCGATTTGATCATAGATCTGCGAGAACTTACAGTTTAAGCTTTGCCTTCAACTATGGTATCCACGCAACCCAGATCTCGGTGCACGATCCAACGCAGTAAATCCTTTCCGGTGAAGACGCTAATAATCCTCAGTCAGAAAGCAAGAGAGAGTTTTTGGTTTTTACGGCGTATCTCAATTATCTGATCTCTCTATCTGATGAAGAGATATCCACCTATTTATAATTATGCTAAACCTAATTATATAGGTTTTAGGATAACCTATAGTCCAATAGGCAATTGGACCTAATCCAATTAATGATATAATTAAGTCTATGTCTAATTAAACTTAATTATATATTTTCTATCTAATAGAAAATAATCTCATTACTAAAATTAAATATTCCAATTTAATTGAATATTTAACACTCTCGATTCACTCTTAGAGGGAAAATGGATTGCATATTGTGTGACCCTATAGGCCTTCATATATTGACATAAATCTAATTTATGATCCTTACGAAAACTCCTAGACTACGTCGAAGGACGAACTCAAAATATGAAGTACGTTTACATAGACAAAGCAAAAAAACCTTTGGTGTAGAATTCAATAGTGATACGGTCCCTAAATTCACGACCCACTCGATTAAACTTAAGACTTGTACGTGTGTCTATCCAAACAGCTTAATCATTTTATCTCATCTCACTAGTTGATTTTAATTAATTATATTTGAACACCATTTCAAATATAATCACGTGTATTGACCAATGACTTTAACTATATTCGAGGAATGAATCCTATCTTGGCTCAACTACCAATTCCATGTATATCGTGACCTACCCAACACAAACCCATATCTACCCATAAGGGCATAAGCTTTGGACTAGGTCTAAGTAAATCACTTATACATGAATTGCGTATTGACCTAAAGTCAAAGGACTATTACACCATTCCACACACCGATACTCCCATAGACACATAAACAAATGGTTTATCGGTAGGGTATACCAATACCCTCCAAAGTATCCATGTGTCCATCACGAATAACAATTATTCATAGTTGTGAGACATACTATATTCTCAAAGAATGTGATGCAGACCACATGTCAATCTATCACGTATCATTAATATCCCTTTTCTTAATGATCATCGATTGAGGTGATTTTAAGAGTTATACTCTATCAATTAACATCTCACTCTGTTAATGACAGTATTAACTCAAGGGAGCCATTAATTAAGAAATTACAGACAATCAAAAGAATTCATCAATTAATGCAAAACCATGAATATCATCAAATATAATATAATGTGATCAAGTACATTTGTCCCAAAATTGATTGTCTCTAGGACACATATACT